TTTGATTTGAGTACAAGGAGGGGTAGAGGTGAGCAGGCAGCTGCAGCAACTCCAACTCCAAACCTAGGGCCCAGGTCAGAGCCAGAGTCAGAGCTTCAGTAGCCACTTGCCCCCCAACTCTGCCTGGCAGCCTTTATCCCCTTCCCAGCCCCTTACTGTTAGGCAAAGCTCTGACTCCAGTTCCTTTCATTCTTGGGGCATGGGGCACATGGAAGCACCATCCCTTGCCTGGCCAATCAGCAGTGGCAGAGTTCTGACACCCAGAACTGCAGATGCTGCTGCATAGCCAGGAAGGGGCCACACTTCCATGTGCTCCATGCCCTAGAAGAAAATGGACTTGGAGCCCTGTCCTGACCATAAGTGGGGGTGGGAGGGAGCAGAGCAGTGGCAGGCATGCAGGCACCTTAGGGGGCAGGCCTTGCTGCATGGAGAAGAAATGGAGGGGGAAGGGGGTTGCCTGTATCCTCTAGCTGCCTGCATCCTTGCTGCTGCTCCTGCCGCTTTCCCAGTGTAGCAGTGTGGATGGTCAGATTTAAGGTGACTCTCTTGTAATTAGATTGTATACCTGGAAAATTATTTTAAAAATATAAATTTTCCAAATATAGAATCTAATTATTGGGTGATTATCTTGAATTTGACATCTTGGATGCATCTTGGATTTGGGTAAATACAGTAAGTTGTTTTTTTCCTTAAATATCCAGAAATCCTTTTCCCTAAAAACAGTATGCTGGAAATGTTGTTCTCATAAATCCTACAAATGTAAGTCATTGTCTAAATAGCCTTTCCATAGCTAAATACTTTTGATATGAGTGTAGTCCCCACCAACATTAAAGCACTGGTAGCAGAAGCTACAAGGTGCTGCAGAGATTCACGTAGTTGAACGTAATATTGGAGATTAATAAAACTCTGCATTTTTAATAATTATGGGAAATGGCCTAAAATAAGGCTTCTCAGTAACACATTGCAGAATGCTGTCCCAGTTAGTGGTTGCATAAACATATAAAGGACATCATATTTTGAAATATATCCTACACTATTATTTTTTGACATTTGATAAGAGAGAGGAAAGGCCAAGAGCTAATTTCCTTCTGCATTTCCTTGCCAGAAATAAAATATAAAAATAATAAAAATGGATATAATAGATTCCTGGAATGTAGGGCACGTCACAGGAATATTAAGATTTGAATAATTAAAGTTGGTGAAAACCTTTGTGAGATCCTTCAAGAAACAAAACCATAAGAGTGCTCTTTGCATGGGGCTATCTCTTCAAACCGTTTGGAAATGTCAGCTAATGAAGAATGCAGAAGCACACATATTAAGAGAGAATTTTACAGTTATGGATAGGTGATCATTTCTGTCAGTAGTCATTTCTGTCAAATCTTTTACTATTTTTTTTCTTTATTATTTTTTTCCCCTATTTTTGTTATTTACTGCTAGAAAAATACCCTGGACTTGGAACATACAGCAGTTTCAGCACCTTGACTGGAGAGCTGCATTGGCAAGCTATCCTGCCAGGGAGCATTAGTGAAATCCATTGATTCATAAACTGCTTCTTTCACATGCAGCCTGGGGGGAATGCCCCTGCTATCCCATTAGTCAATTGATCGGTGGGACAGGGGGCTGTTCTCCATGGATGGGAACTGTCTTGGTTCCTGCTACAAGATAATAGACCCTGCTGGCTACACTCTCTTCAATTCAAACCCTGGGGCCTGGGAACCTTACCATCTCAGCACGGTTGCCTCTCGCCCCCCACATTCCTCTTGGTCAACTGGAAGATTGCTTGGGACATTCACAGCAGTAATGAACCCAAATCCCTGGGAGCCATGTCACTGTAGGTGAGTCTCCCCTCCCGCCCAGCCTTCTGCACTCCAAGTCAACCCAGAGGAGTTGGGGGGAGGGGAGGGCTGAAGATCATTATCCCTGGGCCATCCCTCCAGGGGGTCCAGGAGGGTTCCCACTGCATGAGAATGCCCTCTGCCCTGCCAGTCAGGTGATTGGCAGGAGATGGGGGGGGCAGGGAATTTTTCAGGGCAGAGTCCCCACAGGGCTCCCTGACAGCTTACCCCTGGCTGGAGTACCAGGGAGATAGGGCCCTCTCTTCCTTCCTCTCCTTTGAAGGAAGGAATGAAGAGAAGAGGACTGTGGGATATTGGGTGGCCTCCACAGCCAAGAGTAATGTACAGCCATTCACTCCTCCTGTTGAAGCTGATACTCTACAGAAAGGAATCCATGGGTTCCTGGAATTTTCTAGAAAGTTTTAGGAAAACCTGCTAAACAGGTTTTGAGTTGCCAGGGAGGGCATTGTATTTTCAGAGAATACTAAATTTGCTGCATTTATTTCAGGAAAGAATTTTCTTGTGTACAAGTCAATCATGCTTGGACTAAATGAATTCAAACCCATTGTCTTCTTTTGTACATCACCATGTTGTAAAATCAACCTGACCTCTACATTCGCTTACTTTTGAGGCTTAGCTTTTGAGATTTCCAGGAGAGTCCCTTGATAAGACACATGCTGCCCCTTCTGAATATTGTAATGTTGGGTTAGAAACGAACTAATAGTCCTTCTTTCCAATTCCTTCTCCATTTTTTTTGTTTGAATTTTTGCAATGGGAACTGTTAAACATTTCTAAATAACACCATTCCTTGCCTGGCCTGAATTAATCCAACTGGCTGGAACTGATTTTTCACATCAAGCTTCTCTAAAGCCTCTCCTCCTTGCAGAAGCAGCTGTAAACAGCTGATGTTAATTATTGTCCACCTGCTGACTATGCCAAATAGACATGCCATTAAACTGTGACAAAAAAGCTTCCCAGACTGTTAAGTCCTCCCTCCCTTATATCTTTGGTAACACTAATAAAATACTGACATGTTTTTACCGTGATGACTGCTGTTGCTAACTACTAAGAAGGTGACTTGTCTTCTGTATTAATCTGCATTGCATGGCTCAGATGATCTAAATGAAATTGCTTGACTGCTTCTCTTTTTGCAGCTGTTTTCCAAATGAAAATCTTTAAAATCTTGATGGTAGTTCAGTGCAAATGAATGTATAAATGGTAGCAGGCACTCATTTTTTTTTGTTCCCGAGTATATTGAGATGATTAGCTGCTTCATGAGGTACATGTAAGAGAATTTAATAGGTGTTGTTCAAGAAAGATTATTAAAATAGTTTAGGGTAAGTTATATGCTAGTTATCAAGTGTAATACAAAATACAAATGTCTCAAAAACCACAAAACAGTTCAAAGTTGTTATTTTATCATATTTTCCACCTACACATATTACCTTGGAACATAAATCTTTCCAGTACAAGTAAAATGTCCCTCTTACCTATATTGGCGTAAAAAGGACAGCAGTCTTCAGACTTTGTACTGTTTTCCTAGTGTTTTGCCTCTTTTTAAACATTATCATTACTGCATAATGATGAGTTTAAATGACAATTATTAGACTTGGGGACAGCTTGCAGGAGCTGTGATTGGTACACCGGTCCAGGTTGGTCCCTAACAATTGCAGAATATAGGGAGGACAAAGACAGGAATCCAAAGGAATGGAGAAACTGAAAATTGGTACCAGGGTTTCTTAAAATCCATTTTGTATTTTCTGCCTCATTAGATGTCCATATAAGGATTTAAAGCACATTGACATTATTAGGAAATTAAGCTTTCTAATGAACCTGAGCTGTATTATTATACCTCTTCTACCAATGGAGAAACAGGCAGGAGAAATTGTGTGATTACTATGGTGCCTGAGGAAGTCTATGGTAGAATTGGCCTATTCCTCATCTAAAAGAACTTTGTTGTAGCAATTTTAAGCTGTTGGTAAAAAAAACAAGTCTCTGATGTTATATTCTAAATTATCTCAACATAAAGATAGCTTAGGAAGCTGTATTAAAACTACTTAAAGCAGTACAATGGCACAACTATACTTGTACTTATTACTGATTGGAACTGTTTTGTCCTTTTTCCAACAAGCTTCACTACAACTTTTGATTAGTTTGTTGAAACTTTGTCAAGTGCAGTAACTTAAAAGTGTTCTAAGGGAAAAAATTGGAAACCATTTTGAATATATGTAGAATTCAACAGTTTTGAATATAGGTGGTTTTCAAAATAGATACATTGGGCACATCTACATATGCAATAAAGTGGAAGAAATAAACTCCAACGCATATCGTGTTGGAGTTATTTGCTCGTGGGTGCACAGTTTGAACATGCGTCCTGGCTCTGCAGCACGTTGAGCCAGGTTTGAGCAGCCCCAGCTGGCAAGAGTGTTGGGGGGTCAGCCTGCCAGCCTGGGTCTGCTCCAACCCAACTCAACATGCTGCAGAGGGGCTGGCTATGACACAAGGGTGCTCCAGTGCAGGGCTAGGCAGCAGGCAGCCCCTGTAATGAAGCACCTTTGAACCCCAGCCAGTCCCATCAGCCTCTACACGTGCGTTGCTGTGGAGTAAAAAAACTTTGCAGCAGGATAGTGCTTATATTTACAAGTACGAACCTGCTGCAGAGTTATTTAATTTACTGTGGCCTAATAGGAGCTCAGGTATAGACGCTGAGACATTTACTGTGGAGCTAATTAGGCAGTTCCACAGTAAACATCTTGCATAGATGTGCCCATTGACTGCCAGTGCTGTTTGAGGGGAACAAGAGTTATCCTTCATGTAGAATTCTGTTGTGAAGAATTCCGTCCCTAAGATCTAACACTTTTTTGGTTAATATGCCAAGATATCAGATGTCAACTTGGTGATTATTTCCCCACCTGCTGATAAGAGTTGCATCATTTTTGTATATGCATGAAGTTAAATCCTTACTTGAACAAAATCCCCACTGATGCATATAAGAGTTGGCTTAAGTAAGGACTTGTATTTAGCCTCTATTTTATGTTAAACAGTTTGAGATACTTTGGTGCTCTGTTTACATTTAAAAACAATGTATGTGTTTCTTTTGTGCCAAAAAGATGTGTATCCTTCTCTAGTTTTTGACTAGTTTTTTTTATCTTTTTATCCACCCAGTCTGACACAAATGCAAGTTACCTCCGGGCTGCTCGAGCTGGCAACTTAGAAAAAGCTCTTGACTACTTGAAAAGTGGAGTGGACATCAACATTTGCAATCAGGTTGTAGAATATTTTGATTATTTATTTAATGTTCTGTCAGCTTCTCTCACCTGTGTAGGAATTAGCTGTTCAGATCAATAATTACTTGGTTAATGTATTGATATCATAATCTGATGGCCTGTTTACATCTCTTGTACAAGAAAAAATGTAATTAATATATAATCTTTTGATACGTTATTAATTTACTTCAACTGGGATACCACTGCAGTCTTGAATTTGATCTTACTATTCTATTTTTGTATTAGGATTTGTGATAATATGTAATATTTAATAATGCAAAAGTCTGTATCCCAGTTAATACATATCATTTCCTGTAGCCAAAGAGGTATAATGTTCATATGAAAATAGCTTTTGCCAGAGATAATTACTCTGGCATTTAATCATTTGGTCTCATGATATATTGTTTACTGCACTTGACAACGTGGGTCAGTCTTTGCCATTATATTTTTTTTATAGAATGGGTTGAACGCTCTCCATCTTGCTTCCAAAGAAGGACATGTAGAAGTTGTCTCAGAACTGATACAGCGAGGTGCCAATGTGGATGCAGCAACAAAGGTGAGAGGCTCCTATCTAGCTCTTCAAATGTTTGAACAAATTCTATATAAGCAGAGTGTCAACCAGCTTCCAGACATTATCGTAGCAGTATAAGTTGTTAAACGTTTTCTCATGGAAGTGTGGCTCTCAAGAAATGTCTAACACAGATCTCGTACGTTATAATAAATGTGCTGTGTGTTACTAGGAAGAACATTAAATCATGACATTAGAACATTGTCTTCAATTTTTATCTTTTAAAATAATTGACCCTGGAAACATTGTGTTAATATGATAAAATAATATATTTTTGGAATGGGTTACATGGTTGACAGGCTTAATTAACTTTTCATCAAGTGCAATTTTTATAATGCATTGTAAAACATTTTCACAGTTCATCTCTCTCTGATTTCAGAAAGGAAACACAGCATTGCACATAGCATCCCTGGCTGGGCAGACAGAAGTAGTTAAAGTGTTGGTTGCAAATGTGGCCAATGTCAATGCACAGTCTCAGGTAAGGTAATTTTGTTAACTGTTGTTGTACAAAAATGGCAGCAAGGCAGCAACTTCAGTTCAGTGTGTTTTTGCTTTCTTAACCTGTGAGTTAAGACTGTATAAATGAAAGGTGGTTTTTTCATTAAAGCAGACTCAGGAGAAGTGGAAGCTTGTAGGGTAAATAAAATTAAGGCAAGAAAGATCATTTAGGTAAAGTAATAGGAGTTCTTCCTTTAATTAATATCACAGTCTTAAGCTCTTGTCTTCCATGGTAGGCAAATGTCTACATGAACATATCCCCTCTTTTGCCCCAGTTATTGTTCTAGACTGTAATCTCCCATGTCTATCTACTGGACGCCGTGCATGTGACTTCTGCTGGAGCCTGCCCATGATTTCTTCAGGATGAAGGGTCAGTTGCTGGGCGATTTTAGGGTGATGCACCATGAGCCTCACCTGCCACATCTTTGATGATTGGTTTATTTCACTTGGGAGGACGATGTTTTGGTTCCGCTTCCCCTGGTGCTTCTCCTTGGGTTGCTTCCTTCATGGCTTTTTCCTGGGGCTCTGCCTTCCCTACACCCCGCCTACCGCCAACCGTGATGGAATCATTCATTGTTGAGGATAGTGTTCTGGGTTCTCTCCCCACTCTAGCCTACCAGGTCTGGTGACCGTAGCAATGCTGCTTTTCCTCCTAGGCATCTCTGGTGGCCCTCTTTCTTCACCTATATCGCATCCGCGCTCAATACCACCCTGCTCTTGGGTGCCTTGTCCCTCTTCGGATGTTGTAGTTGGTTCTCTGTCTGTTGCAGCTGATCTGCCATTCTGCTGGGTTCTACCAGGCTTCAGTCTTCGCTAGAGGTCTCAGCCATCCACAGTGGCACCGTGGACAGTGCCTCTGATTGAGGCTGTCTATATGGCGACTCCTTCCTGGGATGCCCACCAGGGCTTCTCAGGAGGAGCTTCTGTGAGCTCCTGCTCCTCCTGCTGCGCCAGGGACTCCACTTCTGGTCTAAATGCCACATGTTCATTTAACTGTGCCTCCATGACATGTAAGTAAGGCAAAAAACCACCAAGCTTCCCTTAATTTTTTATCCCAAAGGGGAAAAATTCCTTCTGCACCCCAAGAAACAGGTAATTGGTCAGATTGATGGCATCCTAAAAGCACAGTTCCTTTATTATAGCTAAGGGGAGAAAGGACAGAGTAATCACAGAGACCAAGAATCTTGGAACACCTGGACAAATATTTATTGTTTTTATGGTATTAAAGCAGGGGCCAATCAGCTTCCATTTCCCTCTGGCTCAATAATGGAAGGAAGAGACCCACCATAGGAGGAGGGACCCTTGAAAACATTTATCAACCACAGGTCAAACTGGTTTTCCAGTCAGTAAGATGGGTAGGGGGGTTTTCGTGGATGGTTAGCCCAACACACACACACAGAAGATGAGAATGATATGGTAATGTGCTTTCCCACCTCTTTCCTTCAAAAAAGTATTTTCTGGGAATTCTTTGATGAAGTGTCTTTGAGAAGCATCTTTTCCATTTCCAGTACAGCTCTGGAGAAATTTGGTAAGAAGATGGCAGTGGTTTTCTGTTTTAAATCCCATTCTAGTGATCAATAACAATGAAAAAACAGCTATGAAATCCAATCTTGTTTACAGTGTATTTAAAGTGATCATGTAACAGGATACACAGCAAAGCATTTCATCTCTCATTTTAAGATTTTTTTCCCAGTATTCTACCAACTGCACTATTACATGGCCAGAATAGATAATGACAAAACAAAAGAAAAGAAGCCGGAATGGTAGAAAACTTCTTATTCAAAGAAATGGTAATCTGTTTCAAAGTCATACAGTGTTGCAATCTATAAGAGGCTCCTTACTTTTCCTTTGTAACTTTTATAAGGAAGTAATAGCAGAATGTACAGAGATTTTGACATATTTCAGAATATGTGAATTAACGTGTAGATCAGCTATAACTATTTGAAATAAAGGAGAAAAATATAGCTGTTACTACCCAAAATTGCTGTTTGTGTTAAAAAGATAAATTTAAAAATTATACATTTTTAAGAAATACATTTTTCCATGGTATTTCTAACAACACATCAGATTACTAAAAAATGAAAGAATTTAAAAAATTTTTTTTTGTTTTCATGTATATGGGTTGTTTACCACCTACATGTCAACCAGCTTGGACAAACAGAATTGACTAGTCAGTTCCACTTCGTGGTTCTTGGACACTAGCCAAATACTTCAATGCCATAGTTCCAAATACTGCAGAGGAATGTTTGACTCCAAGCAGAACAAAGAAGTCATCTTCACTGCTGTATTTCTTTAGCAAAAAAATCATTTAGCTTTAACTGAAGATTGAGTGTTGGGCTGTAAAACATCCTTTCTTTGCGGTGTTTTAGAATTCCTGTTTTCAGTCCTGAAAATGCAGACACATTTCAGAAACTCAAAGGCCCTTTTTATGGGCAAACAGGTGCTTTCTTCAGTCAGTTAACGTAATCAAGCTAGCTTGGCCTGATTGAAAAGCTCTTTTACTTTGTATTAAAATAAAGGCTTTAAAATAATTCATGTTGGTTTGCCTGTAGCCCTTTTGACCTCTTCCAGGCTAGGTTTTAAGAAGTGTTATGTTATCATTTACTAGCTAGCATGTTTTGAATAACATGTTTTGAAAGAGAAATGTAGATGTAACTTGCAGCTTTTACATGTTCTAAACTCACCAAGTTAATGACTAAGCTAGGTTAAAGTTATACTTAGATCATACTAAGGTAAGCAAACTTCCAGGTTCAAAAACCCTTTGTCAAGCTGAGGAAGTTACAGCAGTTGGTGTAATCTTCCTGGATGCAGTTCTACCAACTGCTGTAACTTTCTCAGCCTGAGAAAGGGTTTTTGAACCTGAAAGTTTGCTTAAATTTTTTTTCCAACTACTTAAGTTGGTCTAATAAAATATATCAGATTCACATAAAGAACCTTGTCTGCCTATGTCCTTAGACCCACATGGCTACAACCTACAGCCTTGAGTTCAACTTAACTACCTTTTGCTAAATGTCATATTAGCAGCAAAATTTCTCAAGGGCAAGATGAACATCCTCAAGTTCAGCTTTATGCCCACCCTTGGCTCAGACCTTTTGTTAGTCCTCATTCATAAAGCATACATCCTTATTTACGAGGTTTCCTTTGTTCTTCTGATTACTCTTTGTCTGCAAATGCACCATGTAATACACTGGCTGATGCACAGGATGTATAGCTCATGCCATCTTCATGCAGTCTTGAAATAGTAGGTGCTTTTCAATAGCAACTATTGACATGTGCAGTAGCTCCCTTGTAGGCCTCTACTTCATAGCCTTAAAAATGTTAGCTAAACCTCCCCTCCTCTCTTTTGCCTATTCCTTTTTATTTTCTTCTTTCTGCTTTTATAAATTATTTTAACTTAATGACTGTATAAATTTAGGGCTTTTGGGATGCACTCTATGGGACCAGGACTGTTTCTGCTTCAGTTATAATCAATAGAAAGCATCCTGTTGGGTTCATTCCAATTGCAAGCATCCCATTCAGCATTTTAATGACCTAATTTTACATAATAAGGGTTGGACAATATGTCCATAGGCTGTCACTAATTCTAGAACTGCATTTTGCAGGCACTAGATGTGTTCAGATAAATGAATAACAAGCAATTCTTAGCTACAGTATTTTTTTAGGGACATGAAAATGTAATTGAATTACTAATGTACATATGCAAAAGTATGCCCTCTTTCCCTGTCCTTTGTTTTTTTTTTTCCACACTTCTACCACCTTCCTGGAAGCCTTGCTTTAGCTCCCTCTCCACTGACCACCTCTCAAGGTTTTAGCTCTGTTCTGCTGTATGAGTCCACTGAGGTCTTTGGGATTTCCCATGCCAGGACTCCTTCCCCATCTCCCAGTAAGGCTTTGATGTTGGGGGCAGGGAATCATTCTCTCCAGAAATGTTAAAATACATTTTCAGTTTGGGTTCAGTTTCAGTGTCTTCACATCTCATATCTGCTCTGTGCCTTCCCCTTTTAGAAATTCTCCAGACAACACTAAACACTGCATTTGAACTCAAACATAAGGTCCAGCACAAATGTGAAACTGCACAGAAGTACTGGTGGCAGAAATGAGTCTTTCTTTTTGCTGTCATTACATTCAGTAAATGAGTTTTTAGGTTGGGATGGAACCACAAGTTTCAGGGAAGATCTCAGGGAGAATGAGAGGTAAAGAGAGGAAAGGGAAGGCAATTGGAGACAATCCCATCCTAAATAAACACAGACTAAACGAACACCTTGGTGTTGACCTTGGTGTTATTGCTCTAACCAACTAAGCTAAAGGTTAATATTTCAGGTTTTCTTAGGTTCGGTCAAATTTTCTCTTATAATTCTTTTCACTGCTATTATTGTTTATGTTTAGTGATCATCTTAAAACTTTATGGTAGTCAGATGGCCATAGAGAGTTTTGGCCACCAGAATTGCTTAAAGACGAGTATTTTTCACACTTTTCTTGAGGTTCAACAATTATATGAACAGCCAGAGCCTAATTCTGTGGATATAAGTTAGTAGTCTAAAAACTTTTGTTTATGTACTTCTCCTTGATTTTTAATTCAATGTCAGTAGTGTCTTCCTACCACTATTTTCTAGTATTTTTTCTGTTGCATCTTCTGATTAATTTCCATTCCTAGGCTCAGACCAAGCTGCTGCAGTTTGTTTTAATCAGCACTTTTACCACTAAAGTGCAAAGCATTTCTAGATCATTCTCTATTAGAAATAAAACAGAGTTATTGCAGGGCCCTTGGCACAGCTTTATGAGCACTCGTGGTGCTTGGGCCAGGTGCCAGATTATTGGAAGATAGCCAATGTGGTCCCCATTTTTAAAAAAGGGAGGAGGGAGGACCCGGGCAACTATAGGCCCATCAGTCTTACCTCAATCCCAGGGAAACTCTTTGAGAATATCATCAAGGA